CCGTTTAGTTGGAACAGCGGTGAGGGCGGGAAAAAAAACGCAGGAAAAGTCAGACTTTTATGGCATATATAAAAGTGGCTGCACATGGAAAAATAAAGCACGCAAGAAAACATTTATCCACACTCCTTGACTCTTAGCATCGTTTCGCTGCTTTTTGTTTTTAATTAATTGTATAAAGTACAGCAATTACAGTGAAATCAAGGGGAAAAAATGCACAGCCGACTTTGCTTCCCCCACTCGGCGATGGTGTCGTTTAAACAGCACAGCGATGTGGAAAAAAAGTCGGAAATTGCTGTCTTTTCCAGGCCGTATAAAAAAGGAACGACCTGATGATTCATTACTTGGGCAAAAAATGCTGTTTTACTCCACCTCGCAGTCGTGCTGGATGAAGACAGTTGAAAAGAATTTGGATGCTCCCCAATTCCAGCATAGAAACCCCCATGGGAGCGCTGCCCGGGAGGACTGTTTGATATCGAGGAGACCTCCTACCACAGCCTCCCAGAAGAAAGATGGGAGGATGATGAAGATTAATTGAGATTGAACGGAGGAAAAAAAAAAGATTGCGGCAGGAGCTCACCTCCCGGGTGAATTGATTTACACCTCGCTAAAAAGGAACGCCAAGATGGAGCGGAAATAAGTTACGGTGAGGGGTGTAAAGCTGTATCTGCTTGGAGTTAAAGTGGGGGAGGTGCATCCGATGCTTCACGCTTCCATCAGAGCCACAGGTTCGACATACGACGGCAGTCAAAACATCAAAAATATGTGAGGTGTATAGGATGAAGCAAGTTAGAAAGCTGTAAGTTAGCGTGGGTTCCAAGCACTACAATTTAGGTCAACTTCAATAATTTGTCAGCTAGCTAGGTATCTAGGTAGCGGGAATACACAAAACCACATTCGTTTTCAAGGATTATGTTAAAGCTAAACAAGTTGGTTCAACTTGTTTGTGTCTTATGTGTTATGTTGTATTATTTAGTCATTTTATGTTAACTGTTCTTTTGATGGCGGCGCGGGCACCCGCAGCGGCTCCTCTTGTTGTCTGGTTGAGAGGGAAGAAATGTCATCTGTGCTGTATGACATACAGCACATTTGACAATAAAGTTGTACTTGACTTGACTTGAACTTCAAAAAGCGAGCCAGTTAGCTTGTTATGAGGATCACATTTGTTAGTTAATGTTAGCAAATTGGTTTTAAAACACAAACACTACAGGAAGGAGTTAATCTTCCAAAGTCAGATCAGTGTTTGCTATCAGGATTAAGAAAAAAAACTTCAAATTTAGTTAGTTAGCAAACAGGACTAACAAAAAAATGACACTTTAGTTATCAGGTTTTCCCAAAACTACACACGTTTGATTTATTTTATAGTCTGTACCAATAATGGCAAACATGTTGCTGTGGAGAGGGAAGAAATGTCATCTGTGCTGTGTGACATACAGCACATTTGACAATAAAGTTGTACTTGACTTGAACTTCAAACAACTAGCCAGTTAGCTTGTTATGAGGATCACATTTGTTAGTTAATGTTCGCGAATTGGTTTTAAAACACAAACACTACAGGAAGGAGTTAATCTTCCAAAGTCAGATCAGTGTTTGCTATCAGGATTAAGAAAAAAAACTTCAAATTTAGTTAGTTAGCAAACAGGACTAACAAAAAAATGACACTTTAGTTATCAGGTTTTCCCAAAACTACACACGTTTTTGATTTGTTTTATAGTCTGTACCAATAATGGCAAACATGTCTTTATAGTTGTAGTGAATGATATCACATTGTAATACAATCGGATAGAATGCTACGCTATCGGGGGCAGCTCGATACAAATGGTGAGTGTACGTTGTGCAGTATGTCGTCTGTCCCTACTACAGGCATTAAATGGTCCGTGTCCGCTGTCCATCTGTATTTAGTCATGCTAGGGGTGCTGAAGTTCCTCTCTAGGCACAAAAACCACAGCGGTGATCACATAAATCAGCAAGGCAGTGAAAGTCGGGTGCACGGTGGAGCCATAAAACGGGGATGGAGAGAGAGGACGTGCTGGGCTAAATAAAAGATGAAGGCGGTGGAACGAGTAGGAAACACAGAGGAACAGCAACCGGTACAGGAACAAGGCAGCACAGGTGTGAAAGATAAGAGTGGGGCGAGGAGTTTTCGAGTCATTTGTTTCTTCTCCTTGGCTGAGCACATTTCCTCCACACCTGTTTTCATGTCTGGGAATCACTTGGTCCTCCCTTTAATGTGTACTCTCCGACTCTCGAAACGGTTTCCAGATCTCCAGCATGATAAACATGGAGCATAGTCAACATTTAACCTCTTGCCAAAGTGTGCTGGCTTGTTTTTTGTTTTTTTTTTGTTTCTCCCCAGATGGCAAAGATAATGTTGCCAACAGCAGCAACTCAACTGCCCTTTTGTAGCAATACTTCCTGTTCGTGCTGCTGCCCACTTCTGTTTGGATAGCATGCATTCGGCCTGGGCAATATGGCTGAAAATATATCAAAATAAGTAATCCATATCGGTTTGTTTGTTTATTTATTTATTTATTTATTTATTTCATCCATATCGGTTTGTTTGTTTATTATTATTATTTTTTAACCAAATCATAAGAAAAACAAAAGCATTAAATAGGAAACCATGTACCATGTGAAGCCAAATCATAAGAAAAAAAAAAGCATTAAATAGGAAACCATGTACCATGTGAAGTTTAAAGCTAAACTGACTTATTGAAGGCAAAGCTATGTGCATGTTCTAAATACACATTTTTTATTTTATTTTATTTTGTTTGACAGGATCCTTAGGGGAGCAATAAACCGCTTGGAACCTCTTTTTTTGAATGGAATTGTTATCACCTTCCAGACTGCGGCTTGCTGTGAAATAAGTTGAGTTGACTGCCGCCGTGCAGTCCTTGCATGTCATATGTCAAAGCAAAGGAGGAAAAAAAACAAACAAGGCACCACTCTATGCTATTTATTACTTGTGTCGAGGCGCCACAGAAAATAATGCTGACTATTCTTGCTGCGCTTGACCGTCACAACCGTATTCACGTGATCATTCATGTGTAGTTTACCATTCGCATCTGCATACCTGTGCCGATTTTATTATTCATGTACAGCGGCCACATACAACCCTGCTGACTAGTCTTACTGCTGCTCACATTCACCTCTGCATAAATATTGTATCGTATTTATTATTCATGTTCTCTATTGCACTGTTGTCATTCCGCTCGGTCTCATTGCCTGATGCTGTAAATACGGACAGATAGCGTCGGCCACTATGATTTTCTCTCGTTGGAACTGTGTGCCATTACATTTAGAAAGGCAGACTAATTAAGGCGCGGTGAGCGTCACTAAAAAGGGCTCAGAGGGAAAGAAACTATGATCAGAACCCTCGGCGCCAGCTTTATTCTAGTTACCAGACAAGACGTTTTGTAACTGTCACTCATCGGCTTGTTCAGATTTTTCTTTTCTTTTTTCGAAGCTTGTGTCGCTCTCCTCCTCATGCTGCTCGTCACGACAGCTGCTGTTGAATTATTGATGCGGCGTCGAGCCGGTGAGATTTCTTTCGCCACTCTTTGCGCTGAACTTTTCTCGCTCTTGTTGTGCCGACCGTACGCAGGGATGCGGTAATCAAGCCGGCCGAGCGCATCTGGAAGCACACCGGATGTTGTTCGACAAACCGTGTCGGCGAACGGGGAAGCGCAGCGAAACAACCACGCGGCGTCAGGATCTATGGGAAATTGCGTCGAGTCGGAAGGGAGGCCGAGGTGAGGATGCGTTTGAACTTCCGCAACGTCCATTGTGACATTAACGTTAGGTTGATCAGCTTCAAATTAGATTTTGAATTTGAGAAGATATTTTGTATGAATCGCTCAATAAGTGTGTTTCAGAAAATATATGAAAAAATTGACAACAGTGTACAGCGAACTCCCGTGTATCGCGGGGGGATGAATTCCAGCTCACTAAGTGTGTTCTGGTTCATCTTTGACTTTTGTGGTATTTTGAATTTGACCAGATTTTTTTTTCTAGTTTTACTTTTGCTTTTTTCGTTGCTAATTCAAATGGTCAACTCTTTCATTTGCTTATTATGTATAAAGTCAAATTCCCAAAAATGGATAATCTGTAATTTTATGTAAATTTATGAAAAATAAAAAATAACATCATAACCTTTTGTCTTTTTCAAGCAACATATTCCATTTCACATTAATATGCACACAAAAAAAAGTTTCGGGTTAAAATATTTACATTTTTTTTTTTTATCTAGCGACGCTACTTCTTTTCTTCTTTGCGGGGTGATGTAAAGATGCTCAAGGCGAGCACAAGCTTGAAAGAAAGCTGGAAAATACAACGGAGCACCAGAGAGTCGTTACTCCCTAAAGCAAAAAGCGCAGCCTAATTAATTACCAAACACATCCAAAATGAGTTATGCCAAAGTAGATACTTGAGAGTATTTGAGGGTCTCTGAAAAGAGTTATTTGTGGGTCGCCGCCAGGATCTTAAGCACAAGTATGAGTGGCTCCACATTTGCAGTCGCCTTCTGCACGTTGGGACAAAAGTTGGCATGTACGTTAACATTTTTTAGTTATTACATCTTATCAAAACGTCTCCTTTCCGTCCAGATCTCCTTCCTTCCTTCCTTCCGTTTACTTTCCTTCTCTCATTCATTGAAGACATGTCAAATATAGCCCTTAATCACAAAAGCGTCTCAAAGGACTTCACAAGGCCACGATTGACAAAAGCCTCAGGTCTGAGAGTCCATTTGAGGAAATGAAGCGCCACAGGAATAGAGCGGCATTTAGACAGCTGGCTAAGCAGACAACCCTTAATCCGAAGAACCGGTGATCATGTAGACGTGAGCCAGATGACCAGCGTCACACATGCGCTCCAAGATTCTATGAATTTAAAAATAAAATAATCTAATTGAGATGGATTATTTTTCCTCAATATTATGAATAGGAAATTTGTGTACATTCTAATGTGGTATAATGTACACTATGCATTCCTTGAAAACCCATGTCCTAACTCCTTATCACACAGGAATGATTCAGTTCTGTTACGGAGGCAGAACTAGCCCCAAGGTGAAAAAAAAAATGGCAGTTTTAGTCATCATATCATCTCATCCACCTTTCCTTACCTTACTGCACCGCAACTCCTCATCCTACTTTAATTTCACGCGGCTACACCTGGACTCGATTCAACGGCGTAGAGGTTGTACAGAGCAGATGAAAGGAATGCAGCCATCAAGGTCTACTAACACTGAACTGTCTCGTGATCACATACAGGTTAGTTACACTCGGACCTTGATATCTGCGTATTTTAACTCGAGTTTTTCCAAGTTACAAACTGTCACTTGAAAAATCAACAAAAAGTCATCCAATTCCTCGAATGTCCTCCTTTGTACAATATTTGTACAGGTATGTGCAGCATTCAGTATACATGAATCCTGAGACAACATTACCAGCACTGAAGAAGCTGAGTCACTGTCGCCATCACTCTTATAAATAAGAGATCTAAGTAGCCAGCAGGCGGCAATATGAATAATGGATGTTTTTTTTTGTTTAAATTTTATTAAATGTGGTCTTTCCAGCAAAACAACACACCAACACAAATAGGAGGACGGAGACTTAAGACTTGTTGAGTTTTCCGCTCAGGGTAATGGGATTACGTTCTGGGTTTGTCAAAGGACCTTAGCATCCAAAAAAAAAGAAGGATCAGGCGACATATTAGCTGAGATAAGACGTTCATTCCGTTTGATAGACGTCAGATGATAAGAGTCCAACCTGACAAACACTTGAAATGGTGAAGTGAACCTCGTAGTGTAAATCTCCAAACAGCGATAGTTTTGAAATCTACCTTCAAAGAACATCAAGGACCACCTTGATGATTTTGTGATAATGTGGACAACCAAGACCGTAGCGAGACGACAAGAGTCCAACATTGCTCAGCAAATAATCAACACCTGATGCACAAGCTTCATTTTACGAAGAAGAATGTTTCCATTCATTTAGCATAAATGTTAACATTTGGTGGAAAAGACACACCAAAATCTCAAAAGATTGACATTCAGTACGCACGTACCAAACGGTAGGGCCGATTCTCATTCCGTTTGATGCAAGGGACACATTAGGAGTCCAACATGACTGCTTCTACTACTTGAAATGGACCTGCGGAGACGGGCCTGATTGCTTTCCTCTGCGACTCGTTAACCCTGCCGGTCCCAGCGGGCAGCGGTCCCACCCCGTCGCAAGGTACGCCGCCGCCTTGGGGAGAGCGTGGTGAATTATGGATGCGCTCTAAGCAGTGTGAGAGTGACACGTAGAGTAGATGCGTCAGGGAGGCTTTCGAGACGCGCTAGCCATTTTGGCTGCGTCACGACTCGATGAGGAGGTAGCCAAACCGTGGCGATGTTGACCTCGCCGATGGCGGATAAAAGTCTCCCAAATGGCAAAAGTGCATCCTGCCAGATGACCTTCGACAACGCGTCTTGATTACTAATCGACAGCGGGAGATGAAGAGGCTGCCTTCACTTGCCAAAATGAATGTGGAAAATGAACTTTTCTACCCTTCCTACTTCTCTGCGGGTGTTGAAAAATCAAACCATGTTATTTTTGTGTAATGCCTCAATTGTTTTTGTTTTTAAGAAGACCAAAACAGTCGTCTGAGCAACCCACTTCTTTTTGGGTTCGGAATTTAATTATGATGTTGTGGCAGATTGCAAAGATTTGTACTTTGTTTTCTGATCTCCCTGGCAGCTTTGCACAATTACTTTGAAGGCAGCGGAGCGCTTGCTGTTCCTCTAGTGCTCTTTACCGCACAACAATGACAAAAAAAAAAAAAAAAAAGGCACCTTCTGAAGTGTCGCTATAAAAAAGTGATGTGTCATGGGTAAGACAGTTGTGATGGGAAATATTCAAATGTCAACAGTGCCAACAACAGAGAGCTCGCAGATGAAATCGCTAACTCACTCTTTGTGACCATTTGAAAACTTTTAGATGTCGTGAAAAAAATGTTCAACTGAGAGAAAGGGAACAGAAGAAATACAAATCAAATCCAAGAATCTCCCACTCGCATCACGTAGCGATGTTTACTTTGGCTCTGACCTTGAATAACTGAATTTCAAACATTTTACGGTGAGTCATCACTTTTCGCTGCCGTGCTCTGGCCACATGCGACCACGGAAACTAACATCCTTCGCAATACAGCGCCATCCATTAGTCTACTCGTATCCCCGAGGAGGGGTTTGCACTTGAAGAATCCTTAGAAATAACAAAAAACGACGACTCCTGGAGTGACTGAATTTTCAATGACATTTGGAGTTTTATGTTTGTGATGTCATGCTCCATTCACACTCCATATTGAAAATGTTAATTGTTTTGAAGTCATTTAACTCTGCGCATGATTCAAATGCAGTAGCAGTTGTACAAAATCTCCATGGATTCTTTAATTTAAACCAAAGTGGCAAACTTTCTGTTTAATCAGGCACGGGTTGCTCTTCTGTAAGGCCTTCACATGACGGACATGTCGAATAAATTTCATGCTGCCAAGTGAAACTCGCTTTTAACTTGACAGATCCTAAAATATATTATTATCAACTCACGGATCGAAACGTATGACATTATTACTAGTTTAGTGTTAATGGAAAATTAAACTGCACTTCAAAATTTTATTTTATGCAAATTGCAGGCCTTGTTCCCCCCGTCTCTTTCTGTATATTGCAATATCAAGTTGCTGCGAGAGAAAGCGTGTCTGTGTTTTGTGGGAAGGGGGTTGGGAGGGTCAGTTGCATGAGCCTGATGATAATTGCCTGTTCTTGCGTGTATATGGAACCTCACCTAAGGAGAAAGAGAGACACTACTTAGAGCTCCCATCCCGGTTGTGTTCTAACCATCTCCTCGCCCGAAAGATTAAATGAAACTGTATCCCTCATGATCCTCCAAGCGGCTGTCCTGTCTCTTGTCTACTAAAGGGTTAACATTTTTACCCCTGTCAAAATGCATCTTGCAAAATCTTGAGGAGAAGGTCACCTTTTAAAGAGCGCTAGAAATGGGCAAAAATCGCTCTAAAATGGCAGCTTCAAACCAAAATGACACTTTCTGTGTCTATCCAGGCATAGCTTCTCAAGACTTATCCGTGGGTCTCATCATGCTTGACATGCCTATTAAAGTTCCTACTTTTGAGTAAAATTGGCCTCGGAGGACATTCACCAGGATCGGCATGAGTCAAGATGGCGAGTTATTTCACAGACAAACAAAGCTATTTCACACGGTGCCGAAGACTGTGCAGTCAAGGGGTAAAATCAGCTAATTGCTGCAATCAAAGCTCAACCTGTAAATTGGATTCTTCTACTTGACACTAATGACAAGCGAGTCCATAAAGTGGCGAATGGACCGCGGTGTTATTCATCTTGAAACACACGCACGCACGCACACACCATCCATCTTTTTATATCCTTCTCTTCCTCCGCTCACAGTGGAGCTCGTTTGAGAATGATGGCAGCAGACGTGAGCAAGCCAGCTGAGGAGGAGGCCCACTGTTGACGTATGGAGCACAATGCACTTGTACAAGGCGTGTACCCACTCTCAGACGTGAAAATTCACATGACGTCGGAACACCTCACTAGATCAACAACCAAGGCTTGCGGCATTATGCACATCACGTACGGTAGCGCTGGGAAAAAAAAAATGATATCAAATATGCTGAAAATGCCCCAAAGCTAGAAACATCAAATTTCGTACTTGTGTGTGTACATGAGTAGACCCACCAAAAAGTCTCAGGAAGCCATGCCCACAGAGACATGAGAAGTGTGCAATTTTGGTTTGGGGTGGACATTTCAGCCAGATTTTGGCCATTTGTTAGTCTACAACCAAATTTAAAAGCTGTATATAGTACACAGGCAATGTTAAATTGAAAAGATTTGTAGTTTTCATCACTGCGTGTGGGCAGACCGTGGCGGTGTAGGACAGTATAGTGACTGTACAGACTCGTCAACTTTGCTACTTCACAATGTGACATCGACTAGTCGTTATTCAACGTGTTTTGACTCGAGGAAGAGACAGAGCTGCCTCCAGCAACTGCTGAATGCGCTCAATGAAATTAATCCATCACCTTAATTTCCTTCGATTTCTGAATGTGCAGCTCCGGTGAGGGAGATCCAGTAAGGGGGCGGATGTCAAGCTGGAGCATGATTTTGAAACATTTTTCCACCCAAACTATCAAACGGAATGAGAGGAGAGCAAGGAATTATTCCACCCCACACAAAGGTTGTCAGTGATGCTTTGGAAACAGCACAAATTTATCGAACCTGCTGTTGTGGTGGTCCCAGAACGAGGACAGTTTCCCTGTGTGCACAACTCGTGCAAACATTACCTGGATGTCGCAGCTCCAAGCACACCGAGGATTTTCTTTCCTCTGGCAGGAAATCTCATTCTGCCACCGCAGGGAGCCACATCCATGCTTTTGTGTTCCAAATGTTCTGAGCAGATTCGCTTTAGGAGCTATCAATTGTCAATAAAGATTGTTGCAAAGATTCCTCCCTCCTGTGATTTAAAAAAAATATATATTTATACGATAGTGTTGCCTTGAGAGACATTTGGCAGATTTTTGTTTTGTAGTGATTTGCTCATGCAAACTTGAGGTACAAATGCTGTACTGAACTCAAGTCAACTCACTTCATAATAAGCAGCAGTTGGGCAAATACTGAGCAATTCAGAAAAGAAAGGCTTCATGCTATTTAATTCCACTCGCAGTTGTCAAAGTAAACAGAAAAAAAAAAACATTTTAATTTGCAACCCGAACATTTTCAAGTGTATCAATAATGAGCATGGCAGCGAACCGTGACAATTTAAAAACAGGACAAAACACTCAGGCGCTCCCTTCTGGATTAAAATGTACAGGTACAATCGTGGATTGAGGATAAATATCATGGACGTGTTTGCAAGGGATACAGGCAGTAAGTTGAGTTTGGCAAGGGATGGAGTTTTAACCACACAACGGATGAGAGTGAGTGTTTTTCCTTTCTTTACTGGGACATCGGTTATTATATAGAAGAACAGGAAGAACATTCTAGCTGTACAATAACACAGTCATCCTATGGCGCGGTAACAGCTTCACCCTCACCCCTGGCTGCTACTTAGCGGAGCGATTAATCGACACAACAAAAAAGTAAACACGGAGGCGGCGATACGCAAGAGCCAGGCGCGACTGTAAAACACCGAGATATAAAAGCAAATGGGATGTGGTTACGGCTAATTGCAGCGTTAACATGCGGGGTCGCGGCCACAAACGTCGGCCTGCGATGCATCGGCTTATTAGCAACTCACACTGATCCTATCTTGATTGGGAGGGGTGAGGGTGGGGGGTTGACATGGGCAGGATGTAAAGGATAAAGAGGAGGGGGCCAAGCACAGAGCCTTGGGGGACAACTTGAGAGACCGGTGCTATGTTGGATTGAGATTTATTTATGCTGATGAACTGGTGGTGGTCGATGAGGTATGATTTTAATCAGGAGAGCGCAGTGCAAGTGATGTTAAGGGAAATAAAAAGCTCTGACATTTTACCAAACTGAACCTATTTTACCTGAAATCAAAAGCCCATCAGCATCTCCAGCCTTCTGCCGACACAGAATGCTAAAGTTAAGAATAAGCAAACCTTATGGGACCCAATGTGGCCATAACTCCAAATGGGAGTCTACAGCCCAAATTTCTAACTCAAAACCTAATGTCAGCTTTAGTCCCTAATCAGAACCGTCACTGCAACTCAAAAAGGCAATGAGTGTCATTGCACTGGTGTGAAAGGTACCAACAGGAAATGGTGTCGACAATGTCCAGCCAGCCCTGCTTGGTTCTGTTCGTGAGGACCAAGCAAATAAACGCTTTACTCCTCTAACTGTATGCCTCAGGTGTGGAAATTGTGCAAAAATCCGCTGTGAGAGGGGCTTAGTCTGTGGCGAAATTTCATCAACACACAACAACATCCTTTATAACCTAAAATAAACTCGACGGATGTTGCCCCGACAAGTGACCAGACTTGGAATCGGTGGTGAAAGGGTCTTGATCTTCACATTGTTTACCCAGCTTCTGTTGTTATCAAACAGGACAGTTTCCAGAACAGTGTATTGTCATGTTGGTAAACGCTAAAGCTCGCAGTCAACATCTGGCTATGACAAGCCACTGCAGCGACATGTGCACAATGAAGGATCGCTGGGTGTTTATCTAGGTCACCCATTGCTGTCGAAAATAGCCTGCCTCCCGAAAGCCATCTTCCGGGGAAACGTGGCCTACAATGGCCAAAAGCGCCCCCCACCCCAACCCTTTTTGTTGTCTTTGTTTTCAAAAATTAGCAGAGTGCATGACACTTTGTGGAAATTAGCATGGCACAAGTGCCGGCCAACTAAGTTGACGCTAATTGTTTTGTGCAGGACTGAAGATAGCAGCATCAGGCTAATCGCGACAAAAAGAGATGGAGCCCCACCTCCCCTCCCTTCGCCCCTTTCCACAAGTTGGACTGCAGCCACTCTAAACATGTTAGAATATCATAAAAACACTGCGTAAGTGTTCACTCTCAAGGTTGCCAGCCAAAGGACGAGTTATAATGGGCTTTAAAATGAAAAGAGGTATTACATCTAACAGCTGCTTTTAATACTGCTTTTGTCATCAAGGACCCACGGCGTAGTCTCGGCAACCGTCACATTTTACGTCTTTACCCCTGTATCCCATCAAACGAATGACACAGTGAGCCTCTTTCATTAAGTCTCTCCTGACTTCCTTTACATTGCACGATGGAAGCTAACTGGATTTAAAAACCTTTACATGGGAGACCATTTCAAGATGGTGTCGACATCATCTAACCGAATCAAAAAGTAAAACCAATGCCAGTATAGACAGAGCGGAGTTATGGCATCTAGACATTTCTGACGGTGGAGGGCGTCTTTAAATCTTAATTTCACAAGACATCTCAGACCTTGCATTTATATATATTACACACACACACACGCACACACACACACACACGCACACACAAACAGATCCCATTTTAAATAAACCAAAAAAAAAAAAAAAAGATCTGAAATTCCACTTCGTACAATATCAAATGAAAGATTTTCTTAAATTGTCAATTCATCAATTTCATGGCAGCAGAAGTAAAATTAGAGCTCTTAAACGACATTCCAAACAATGAACACTGAAGTTGATGTAAGCGTTATTTTGGTAATTTAGTTCTCTTGCGTTTATGACCAACTGACTTACATTTATGCCCCACTTGCTCGGTGGAATTTGGTCAAGTCGTCAATTGATGTATAATAAATCAAACTTCATCGATCATAACACATCACTGATTTCTTTTATGCTTAAAATTATGGGAAGATGACACGGGGGGGAGTTGCATATTAAATCAAAACTGCAACAGTGAGGACAAAGAATCACAATGAGAATTTTTTTTTTTTTTTTTCAAAATCGTTCAGCTCCAATGTACACCACTGTTGTGTACATTGTAACGTAGTGTCATGTGCCATCAGGGGCGCAAGTTTTTGGGTCAGGTTCTCAAAAGGAGCACTTGGTGACATCATCACCTTCCAGACCGAGTGACATTTGGACCGGTATATACAGTACTTGGCAATGAGAAACATTCAGAGGCACTCCATTCATGAGTCGAGTCAGCACATTGACAACATAAACAATACCCTTTCCCCGAGCACAGGGTGACAAGGTTAAAGCTTCATTTACTCAAGAAAAGGCGCTTTCTCTCCTTTTGCTGGCAAAAAGGAAGCGGTGGGATAAAGGAAAAAAGAAATCAATAGTTCTGCAGTCAAGTCTGTCATAAGGAGAAGGGAAGTCATTTCGGTCTGGCAGTTTTCGTCTCAGCGCTCGTCACAATGGCCGCCAAAGTGATCAACGGGATCGAGGAGGCGAGCGACACTCAACGCGAACAGACTTTTTGTGCCGAGAGCTGACGTGTCAATTCAGCGCTCTGACACGAGGCAGAAATTCCTTGACACTTTATTACAATAAAAAAAAAGGAGCTTATAACACTTGCTAAAATGCTGACGTGGAAGGCATCTGCTCGGAGAAGGGACGTTCGATTTGATGCCACTTTTTTTTTTAAGACCGCAACCAGTATAACTACTCAACGATACGAAGTAACCAATACCACTCGTCCTTTTGATACATCCAATTTCCAGTAAAATGACCTGACATTGGTTTAAAGACCTTTCATTTATTTCTGACAAAAGCCAACACAGTCACTCTCCAAAAGAGAATTTGTGTCTGAAATAACTCAACTGTATTTATATAAATAAAACAAACAATTAAGCTTATCAATGCACTGAATGATAACAACTTTCTATTTTCATCAGTCAATGAAAGCTTGTAAAAGAACAAAATTACTACATGCGTGAAATACATTAATGGAGAAAGTAATCATACCACCCTGAGTTAGAAAAATAAAGGCACGACGTTGCACACAGTGCACTAATTATGTCCTCTCAACATTATTATAAATCTTACAAATAGTGTGAAACGCTTTGAGTACCAAAGGTAGAAAAGCGTTCTACAAGTGACGGCCCATTTACCATTTAAATACACACATACACTTCAAGAAATTGCATCTTAATGGGCATGAAAAGATGGACAACACCCGTTTTGTGACTGACCCAGTAGTTCCTGAGATATAAGAATTCAAAAGAAGGTGGCCATGCCCCATTTTGTCAAAAATTGCCAAATTCGGTGGGCCATAACTCCCAAACATCTGCTCGGATTGACCTAAAATTTGAGATTTAGGGTTGTGCCATCACTATCAACAATTACACCACCATTAAAATCAATATATGCTTGGTTATCGCCAACTGGGTGATTTGGCATGAAAAGATGGCTCGTATCTCAAAAAGTCATTAGTTGGATCACTTGTATCCCCTGATGCCACTGTTTATTTATTTATTTATTTTTTTAAAGGGGGGCTAACTAAAATTATTATTCAAAGACATGTGTACAGACATAGTGGACACCATCAACTATTTATTTTTAGATGTTACTGTCAAAGGAACGGTCGGCTAAAAGCATTCCCGTGTATTCCGGCGTGGAGGAACGACGACCCTGCGTTCTTGTCACGGTCTCACCTTTCATTTATCTGCATGTTCAGGCTGCACGCTGGTCAGATGTAATTTTCGAGCGAGAGTGTAGCAGATGTGATTTTATAAGCACACAGCGGCGCCGTACAAATGGGCTT